GTGGGGGCCCGCTCGGCGCCCCCTTCCCCCCTGCCATGTCAGGCCTGCGCCCCACGGCCTCCCCCGCGGCCCTCCCTCGGCGGCAGCGCAGGGCCAGCCTGGCGCCATTTAGGCCTGGGGCCTAAACCTCGTTCCCCACCCCCAGCTCACCCCTTCCTCCAGCTCCGCCTTCATTAGCCATCTCTGGGGAGCTCCAGCCTGTCACTGCTGGTGCTGCCTGTGAGGACGCTCTGTCCCAAAGAGCTGCTTGAAAGCCTCGTCTCTGAAGGCCGCCTCTCTGGGCCACAATAACAGCACTAACATGAAGTGAAACAGAATCAGATGTTTCTGAGCTCGACACATCCTGGAGGACAACTAGCAGGTCTCTGGCCTCGTTGGGGAGGGCTAAGGTTTCCCTCCCACAGAGGAAGAGACAGACGGACAGCAGAAAGAAGTCCCCTTCCCCTTCACAAGGTCTCAGAGATCAAGCTGGATCCAAACTCCCACTTCCAGTAAGGGCAGGTGAAAACACTCAAGTTCTTCAAAGATCTTGCAAGCTCAGTAGAAAGGACAAACACAACAAAATGGGAGCCAAGATAGGAGATTCAGGAGAAGAGACAAAGAAACAAGGGTCAAAGATTCGGGATACATCCAACCCAATCAGACCCAATCCAGCTCGCATATAAATCACAACATAATCTAAGTTAATTTAAGTAATTTAAGTGCTGATGCATCCTGTTCTTTAAACGCTGGCCCTACATTTATCAATGCTGAGCTAAGAACTGCAGCAGGAGCCATCCAGGCAGTAGAAAAATTGAGGCGACCATAAAGAGGGGTGCAAGCAGCGATCAACAGGATGACATTCAAGAGGAAAACAGACTCCCAGACTATATTACACCATAACAGCTCCCGTTGTAACACAATGGAGGTTCCTAGGTGGAATGTTAATTGATGTCTTACATACCTAGAGCACGGCCAAGTGTGGAACTGCAACCCAGTAACCCACGGTGCTCTTCACCTGCATCGCGTTAATCTCAGCTCACCACAATCCTCAGGCATTAATTCGATACCAAAGGGATAAGCGACTGACATTCAAAAAAGGTGTAATAATTTCAGTAAGAATTTGCTGAATTCTGCTTGCTGTGGTGAAAACAAGGCAAAGACATGGGTCAAATTTCATTTGTGTAATTTTAATATCCTGTTAGGCAAGTGCAGGAAGCATATAAATGGGGTTGGTACCGATAGGAGATAAAGCATAACCTCTCTGAATAAAAATAACCCTTATTCAAAAAAGTGCTGCCCTCATTTTGTTTAAAACCAAACACACTGAGCTTCGCTGCCTGAATGTGTTTCATATACCTGGGTTGTACGTCAAGAATTCTAGCTGGGAGAGCAGAAAGCGAGGAGAGCTAGCAGTCTGTCTCAGCCGTGAATACACAGCAGAGCCCTCGGGAGCCTCTTCTGTAAAAGGCAGCATGGAGAGGGCATGTAACGCTACTGAAAAGAGCTGTTTCAATCATGCTGCTTCATACATGTCCCCAAAAGGCATACGCTGCAGAATGGCTCACCCCTAGGGCTCCCTCACCAGTGAGGGGTGAGCTGGAGCTGGGCACAATAGTGGTTTTGGTGATCTTGGCATCTCTTTTCTGCATGTCAGGCCAAGCCCAAAGCTGTTCAGCAGATGAGGAGTAGTACACAGGGAACAAACACTGCTGCACACCAGACCTGAATCCAAGGTGGCAAAGGTGGCCCAGATCCCTTTTCTGTACAAGATCCCAGGATCTGATTCAAGCAATCTGGATCACAGAGGAAGAAGTGTGAGCAATGTGCTGAGCTTGGTGTGTACTGTCCACCTCAGCACACATCTGCTTATGGTGTCCACCCAGTTACATCCAGTCCCTTCCCCGCCAGTCTGCCACCACTCAGCCACAGCTGCCTACGGCCCTGTTTCTCCCAAACACTCTTCTAGCTTGCAACAGTGTGCAGCTCAGACCTCTGCTTAAAAACCTTTAGTGCATTTCTCTTCCCAGAACTTGTCTGGTTCATCTTTGGCAACCACAACATCCTGAGGAGATTGACTTCCGCAGCTCAGCTATACGCTGCCTTGAGAACCACCCTCCCCGTCTTCATCCTGAACCTCTAGGCTTCCTATGACGTGCCATGGTGGACATCCTCTAGACCAGGAACTGTGCTTGCTCCAAAAAGAGGACAGAAAACTGTCCCCAAATCCTGTCCACCTCTTCCTGATATGGACTGATGCCCTCAGTCTCGCTGTGTCACTGCCAGTGGTGCCCTTCAAAGCATTTCCTCTGGCAACAGTTTCATAAACCTCCTGCTCCTCCAGCACAGATCCAGATGTCGCTATAAGCAACAGAGAAGGCTTTACCTGCCTCTTTCACCAGAGAGAAGAATGTAGATTCAGTCGTTCTTGGCACTATCTGAACCTACCCCCAAACTCTAGGAGGTCACCTCTAGTCTCTGGGATACTGGAACAGGAGGTGTCACCTTGACATGCCCAACACCCAACCCCAAAGATCAAAGCCCCCAGAGACGGGCCAAGGAGGAGGAAGAAGCGAGGAAGCTGAATTCCCAGCAGACTCTTCTTGATATGCAGGCAAGAGTTCTCCAGGAAATCCAAACATAGCTCCACAGCAAGGGAACAGTCCAACTCCCACTGACAGAGTCGCTTGAAATTGTATATGGCAAAAGTTGTACCAACAGCCTTCTCTAATTAAAAGCACCTGTCTTCTTAAATGGGAAAATCAAGGTGCATGAACTTGAGCAATGCCCCCAAAAAAGCAGAGCAAGGCTCTTTAGATCCTTCTTTGCAGCCTCCACTCCCTGAGCAGGTAAGTTACGTGATTAAATTCTCCAGCCAACTTCTACGTGAAAACTCCTTCCTCCACAGAAGCTTCAAAAGCTGTTATCTGTCCCTCTTATCTTACAAATGCGCACAGCAACCTCAAAAGTTGAGTGTGAAGTGGCAAACAATTTTATTATACAGTTAGTAAAAGGCTTTTTTTTTTTTTTCTTTTTTTTTAAAGATTTGCGGGGACACAGTTCCCTCCTGCAGGTTCACCTGCTGATCTCGCTTTTAAAGTGCTACATTACAACCGTGAAAATACCGGCACTTCACAGCAGAAAGCTGAACGTGTGCTTTTATCGAGTCTGAAGTGGTGATAAACCAGCTGTTTCACAAGAATGATTCAACATGAAAAGGCAAAGCATACAAGCCACTGCTAAGAAGTAGTGGGAAAACAGGTGAAGAATTTCAGGTGAAGAATTTCGTAGGTGAGTAAAGCATCAGAGAAGAGGGCCTTGGTACGGATGCTGCTGGTTTGGGATCTCACAGACTTCCTCCAAATCACGCAGAAAGCATGTGAAGGCACACGCCCCCTCTCTTTACTGAATTTTGGGATGGATTCTGCAGTGTGGTTATGCAGGCTCGCGTATTCTGCTTTAAGAGATGTATTTTGCTTTATTTCACAGAATCTCCTAGATTGGAGAACACCTGTAAGATCATCTAGTCCAATCATTAACCTACACTGACAAGCACTATATCTACGTGATCCTTAAATATCTCCAGGGATGGGGACTCTGGTGCAATATTCAGTAGTAAACATAAGCTTTTTAACAAGGTGAAAGGATTTGGGGACATTTCCTTACCCACTGCAAATATAGAGCAATTCTTAGTGCTGAAAACTGCAGCTTTCACAGGGAAGAGACAGGTCTCTACAGAGCCCTCACTCACAAAATTATGAAAGCTGAGGAGAAAAAACAGCTCACTGGGCACTGTTGATGGGGAATCTCAGGTCCTTCTCCCTGCTTGCGGGGAGGTTTCAGACAAGTTACGACATCATCTTCAAACGGGGAGAACAGCCCCTGCGTTCCCTCTCCCAGCAGAGGAGGTCAAAGGTGTTTGAAAGCACTGTCCCTTCCTCTGATGGATAAAGCGCTAGGCACTGAGCAAACAATGAACATCTCAAGTACACCTGGAGAGCAGCCCCATCAGATCAAAATCAGCACCTCACTATTGCATATTATTGTCCTTATTGTTTAAAGGAGGCACTTCTTGAATTTTTGGGCAAAGGGGATGTGTTAGGAGGGAGGAGCAGCCGTTTGGCTCATCATGGGGCTGATGGACCCTTCCTACTGCAGGCTGAGCTCCAGGCACTTTGCAGCCAGGCATCAAGGCACTCATCTCCCTCCCACTCATCCGCCAGCAGGAAGGTCGTATTTCGTATTTCGGGAAGCTGTGCCAAATGGAAGGAATCCAGCAGGAGTAAGTTACTGGACACAGTAAAGCATGGAAGAAGCAACAGCCTGGATTAGGAGTGCAGCCCGGCCATCAGCACCAGACCACTACAACAGTTTTAATGCCCACGGTATTCTTGCAGGCTCGCCGGATTCAAACCGTGCCAGCCCATGGCATGAGCCTTCTGCTGTGCAAATCCACCACCAGATCACCAAACGTTTTGCTCAGTCGTGCCTCCTGCCACAGCTCCCCTGTTGCCCCACAGCAGATCACAGGAGGGTGGAACACCGCAAAAGTCTACACTGGCATCTTTAGAGCTTAAAAAAAATAAAAAGCCTCTGGCTACAATAACACTCTAACTACAAAATAACTAGCTTTGTTACTTTTGTGCCCCTGTGTTTTTGGGAGGGAGTAGATGAGAGATGGTAAACAACCTGCAGTAACAGCGACAGAAGTGGACAGCACAGCTGGGGATCACTAAACTCTGCCTAGAGTTAGAAATGCATACCAACAGCAACTGAGCACGGTCACTTCTGTCCCCAGAAGCTGCCCTGGGCAGGGGGAAGCTGGGCATATTTATTTGTGTCTAAGGATTTTATCTTTGAAATCTTGCAGCCCAATCCCCTAGCGCTCCAAGCTCATCTCTGGGGATAGCAGGGAAATTATGGGCTGCAATTTTAAATGAGACCTTCAAGATAACCCAGAGCATCTCGACCACCGCGTATGACCTCCCTGCAGTGCACAGTGTCGATCCTATTTGTGTCTCAGCCTGGACACAAGCTTCCTATATTCCTATCCCATAGCACCAGGTGTCAGGAGAGGCAAGAACTATATCCACTCTCCTAGCCAGCCTCAAAAAATACAGCCTAAAGATCAAAGATGCCCAACAACCCTGTGTGGAACCAAATCTGCTGAATGCTGGCATCGCATGAAATGTTCCTCTTAAAGCATAACCCCCTTTCACTGCTTGGAGGGGGGTGAAATGAGATTGATCCCTGAGAAAGCTGGTTAGATGTGGCTCTTTCCTGACCCTCAGCTTCATCCCCAGGGTGTCAGCGCTGCATGAATCAATCCCAGAGCCCATCCCTGATCCTCAGGACCAGGGGAGGATGCTCCAAAGCAAAGCACCAAAGCAGGACAACAGCTCCCAGGAGAGGGGACAGCTCGCCTGCAGTCTGGCCTGGTGCATTCTCACCACAGGGACATCTCTTGGCATGAATGACCAGAAGGCAGTGTGACCTGCTGCACTGGGGTCCTGCCTGCGGACCTAACACCGAGGGAAAGGAGCAGCAGAAATGAGCCAAGGTCCTAGCAGCGGAGCCAGAGACACCAAGTAAGGCAAATTCAACATGAGGCACCTGGTGAAGTCTGCTACACAGACCCTCAGGCACATTTTCAAGCTGAGATGAACAGAGCCAACAAAATCAGCTCTACTTTTACAGGACATCTGCAAAACCTCTCCTCGCTGCACTGCCTGGAGGGACCCAGGGGGTCACCCTTTGGACCACCAGGACATGTTTCTCTGGGACCAAACAAGGAAGATGTGGAGAATCACCATGAGGACTTTCTTTTTTGACTCAAGGGATCACTCCCTGAGCAAGACCCTCTCTATGGGTGTAAAAGGAGAAGGCTACAGAGAGGAAGATGCTTGGGAAATGGGGGGTAACAGACCCAAACACAACAGCATCACGCAACCAAGGCTCCTTCCAGCAAAACCTTCCAGAAAGAGATTTAACATCGTCCCTACTGCCCCCCCCCCCGCCACTGCTCTTCAGGCTTCGAATGCCTTAGCCAAATTCCTGCTACGAAGAGGAATCGCCCTGGCTAAGTGATGGTTGTGGCATCCCATCCACTCCAGCACTATTTCTGCAATCGAGCGTACACCATAAATGCCACAGCTGAAATCACAGCAATGCCCCCAGCTAGAACGATGTATGGCAGGGACAGTCCATTGCTGTCCCCTGGGGGGACTTTGCCTGGAGATGAGCTGGTCGCAGTGCCACAGCCTTTGTTTGAGTGAAAAACTGGAGGGTCTCCAAGGGGACCGGCTCCATCTCGGAGGTCGCCGCCTGCCCCAAGATGGACGCTGGGGTCATGGTCCACGTGGACCTCATGGGTGCCCAGGGAGGTGTTGTTCCAGCTCAGAGGTGGACAGGAGTCTCTGCGTGCTCCAGCTGCCTCCTCTCCCCTGGGGTCCTCATGAGGTGCTGGAGCCAGGCATCCCAAGGAAACTCTGGAGAGAGCTCCTCCTGAGCTCGAGCTATCCGTGCTCACCATGAGCGGGTCACTGCTGAAGGTGAGGCTATCAGACACCCCAGAATGGGGGTTGCTGGGCCGAGAGCTCGGGCATCTGCCAGTTGCCTCTGGGCTCTCTCCAGCCACGGAGAGGAGGACACCAGGTTTGCTGAGCTCCACGTCCCTCTCCACGTTGCTGCAAGGCACCCAGATGCTCGTGGCAGAGCTCACCAGGGGTGCCGTCTTCCCAGACGGACCTTCAAAGCTTCGTGCAACTGTCGGGAGAAAGTCCACCGAGGCCGGGAGGACCTTTGGGAGACAAGGAGAGGGGCTGAGTGCCACAGGGAGCCCCCATTTGGCCTGGTCTCAGGCACCCATGTCACCTGACAAGCCCACTTCAGCACTCAACCACATCTCCAGCCACTAACAGCAAGGTTGGGTCACAGGTAACTCTGCGGCCTGGGAGAGCGAGCGGGGCAGGGAAGTGCTGGGGCTCCAGGGAGCCTTTGGGATTTGGGGGAGATACAGGAAGGAAAGAGATACAACCAGTGAGGAGCGGGGTGGAAAGAGGCACCAGGAAGTGAAGAGACTGTCTGGCAAATCAAGGAGGGGAAATAGGAAGTCAAAGCCTGATAAACTTTGGCTCCATTGTCCCATGCTCCAAAATGCGGCGTCCAGACAGGGACATGAACAGTGGGGAAAAAAGCCCCGAATAAACTCACCACCAGCTCAAAATCTTACACTACAGCAGAAAATCTCCCAGCCAGGGGGAGCTCACAAGGACCTGAATGAAATGCAAGTGGCCATGGGTCACTTACTTTCTCCTTTATCAACATGGAGGGAGTGCTGCTGGCCGTCTCCGCTGTAGGCAGGTTTCTCTCTTGTACAGGAGGCTTCAGGGAGGTGTCGCAGGATGGGGAAGCACCTCTGGGTGCAGGGGTAGCAACTGGGGTGGTTGTTTCCACCTGAGCATCTGTCAGGGACAAAACAAAACGTATTGCATTAATCAGGAGACCTAAAAGGTGAGTTTTGCTCTTCCTCAAGGATGCTGCAATAGGATACTCCCAGAGCTGAGAAGGTCACACAGGGAGCGGGATCCAGTGCCGCTGGATGCTGCCCGGATGGCCCTGGCTCTGCCACAGCACCAAAGCTCTCACAGGAAACCAGATAGCACCAGCCAAGCCCACACCTCCAATCTATTCCTCCCTTCGAGAGCGGGGTGGCCCCAGGCTGCTGGAATGGGGATGCAGAGACATTCAACCGGGATGTTTTACATCGGAAATGAATTAAGTGCCTCTGCCAAGTCTTGGTCAGGATGTTCTGCCAAAATAGTGAGCAACAACAACTGGAGGGAACATCAGCGGAACACAAGCAGCCAGGCTGGATTTCTGCACAACCCAACCTCGCTCTCTTCCTGGAGATCACTGCAGCCCAGGAGACAGGAGAGAAGAGCACAGAGACCTGTTCTCTGCACCTCTGTGAGTGCTCATGGGCCACAAAGGCAGACACAATGTTGGGCTGTCCTGTACCAACAGCCACAGCTACCACCGTTCTTTGGGAGGGTCCCTATGGCCTCCTGGCAGGGTGCTACCCCACACCTACACCTTCTCTGCCACTCTCCATCCTCACCATTAAGCAGGGGAGGCATCTGACAGCACCTTCAACCCTACTCCCCATCAGCAGGGTGGCTACACAGAACTGCTGGGAAGAAAACCCACCTTCATCTCCCCTGTGCTCTCGCAGCATCCTGGCCTGCTTCTGCTCTGCATCAAACTGTTGTTGTATGAGGAGGGGACTAAGAACATCCACAAAGCTACCTGGGGGCTTGCCATGCTCGGAGCTGGGCACAGTCTGTGGTTTTGACAGTGAGTTTGGGGGCTGCTGCCCCCCGCTGCGAGCGGTCTCCTCCAGCCTCGGGGGTGACTCAGTGGAGACGTAGAAGTCCTCTTCGGGCTCGTTCCTGGGCTGCTCAGGGCTGCGAGCAACGCCTACATCCCTTGGCAGAAAAGACCTGCCCAGACCCAAGCCCGGCGCACCACGGTGCAAGTGGTTGGCGTTTCCGAAGCATCCGTTGTCCACACACACCGGGTGCTGCTGGCGGCTCAGCCAGTCCCGGCCCTGCTCAGGAGAGGCAGCTGATGGCACAGCCACGCTGGCTGCCACAGGGGTCCCCGCTGCCACCTGCATGGCCTTGGTGGGGGGCGGGAGATGTCCGTCTCCACTGCGCCCATCACTCGCTCCATCATGGACCGTGCTCATAGGCAGAGGTGGCCAGGCACTCTTTTTCTCTGTGAGGTTTTTGGGGAGCTGGAAGGAAACGAGCTGTGTTAAATCGGTGTGCCAGGATAAGGGGATCTAGGACTACCACAGGGTGCCCCAAACCCTTAACCAGTGACCCACACAAGCCTGGTGATGAAGAGAGTCTCTCCTTGGCACCCATTACAGGGCTCACAGGAGGTGTGCACAGGGTCAGGGGCTACAGAGGGGAGCCTGGACTAACACAGCGGACCCTGCACTCCCACCCACGCAGGGGAAACAGGAAAGGGGAGCAGTTATAGGGCCGTATGTAGGCTGTAAGTTACCAGATACAGCAAGCATGCAGCAGAGATCAGTAGTGAGAGGCTGCTTGGGGTGCTCCTGAACAAGCCCTGGCTTTACCACAGGCTCCCCACGGCCCACTACACCAACACTCCAGTCCAAAAGGAATCTTTGTGTCCCAGTCTGACACACGCCCCACTCACCGATTCCTGCACCGGGGCCCTGGCATCCAGGTCTGTGCTAGCAGCGGTGGCATCACTGGGCAGGAGAGGCAGACGGCTCCCAGCGAGCAGGTCTTGGTGTGGCTGCTCAGCCAGCGGGCCACCCGGAGCAGGGTTCAGCCCTGGGGATGGCATCTGGGCACCGACAGAGGAGACAGCGGGACGGCAATTGCTGGCCACAGGAGGCAAGGAGGCAGTAGCAGGAGCTGAGGAACCTGGAGAAGCCAAGGCAGTTCATGAGTGGGGATGTCAAGGGAAAAGCTGAGGAGGCAGAGGATGACTGTGGGGCTGAGGCAGCCCCTTGCGTGCCCCTGCTCTGTTCCCACATGGGCCAAGCCTGCAGCACCCCTTAATTCACCTTCCCATTTTCCCTCAGGCAAGAAACCCGGCCCACTGCCAACCCAAGCACCTCCAAACAGGGACCGTGCCATCCTCAGGCATGTCACCGCAGTGAGGGACATCCCTAGGGACAGTCACAGACACCCCCAGGTCCCTGCAAAGCCAGGGCAGGGAGAGAGGCCAGCTGCTCAGTGCACACCAGAAGATGAGGTTTGAGTCTCCACCAGACCCCCAGGGCAGCACCCACAGATGACAAGGCTACATACGGGCTTGCCAGGAGTCATATACATGCTGCAGCTCATCAGCCAGGTGCCCCGCGTTGTTCTGGCGCAGCGCGTCGATGAGATCTGGCACCCAGCCCTGCCGGCACTTCAGGTGCTGGTAAAACTTATAGACTGTCGCCTGGCTCCCTCGCATTTCCTCCCGGGCATGAAGTTCATCCTAAACAAAACAAACAGCGGATCTAAGAGAGGGTCTGGCTTAGAAGTAAGGTGGCTATATGTTGCCTGAGCTATACATTGGAGAAGGAGCCCGGCAGGGCTCAGGAAAGCAGGGAATTACTCTGTCGGCATCAGTCAGGCAGCTCAGGGAATCGGCCAGCGACGCCACACGGATGTTCCTGAAATTCTTGAGGTTTTTCAAAATGTAGTCGTACACTTTGTCTTCGGCAAAACCCATCCTAGCTCAGCACCTGCCGTGAGACAGACAGAAAGACTTAAGATGAGCGGAGGGCTGCCGGCAACGCGTGGCTTTTCTCTAGGCGCTTGGGCTTTTCCACAGGGGCGGCCTGACCCCTCCGCACCGACACTCGAACTCGCCGGCAGCGGCGATGGGCGCAGGGGGAAATCCTGGACGGGAAACGCCGAGAGAAAAAAACCCTCAGGTTAAAGTTCAGCTCTCGACTCTGCTTTCACAAACTTATCCCTCCGGCGCTTGCCCCGCCCGTATTTACGCGCATCCTCTTTGCGGCCGAGGGCAGCCCAGCCCGGTCCCGCCAGGCGACGTGGGGACAAGCCTGGGATCCTGCTTTAGGCCCCGGGCGACGCGGCCTCCCGCCGAAGGGCGAGGACGGCGGAGGAGAAGCAATAAACCTCCTTCTCCCGGCGAAACGGCGGGCCC